AGTTATTAAATTTGAAAGATTATCTAAGACTGCAAAACATCCACATGTGAAATCCTTAAGTGAAAGTAAAGGCACATTAAGACCACTTCGTGAAAGTATTTGTAGATATAGGCAAATATTTATATTGTTTGCATCTAAAGCAAGCATAGACCTAAAATCGCAACATTTGCTTCTTTTTATTAATTTCTTTGCTATATAACCAGCAATTGTTGTGGCAACTTCTTCTGTTTCAGGTGATAGAGTTAATTCTGATATCTCATTTGAATTTAAATCTAATTTTATAAGTAATTCATGATTAATTGGATTATTATAATTGTTCTTCATCCCAAAAATTTACATTCTCCCTAATTGAAGGCCGACATGCTAAAATAATCTCTGAATGTTGAAGTCCTAGTAAACTTACTAGAAATCTCCCACCACTCATCTGTCGATATTGAGAAAATCTACGCTCTATAGAGTCACTTTGAAGTCGTGAAGTAAGCACACACAAATATCCTTCTTCTATAAGCTCGTCTATAAGCATTGTTTGAGAACGCAGTTGTGATAAAAGCAGATGATGTTTGTTTAGATAAGGAAAAAAATGGAGATTTCTGCCAAAGTTCAGTCCAATCAGCTAGTTGCCTAAAAAATGTAATTTTACCATCATCAAAAATAATTGCATTACCAATTTTATTTGGACTAAATTGTTGCTTTGAAGTTGAAACAGTCCACCATTTTTGAAAAATATTTAAAAAACCAAAAATGTCATTTCTTTCAGGAAAATAACTTTTAAAACTTGCAATTGTTGTTTCATCGAAAGTCGACAGTGCAAGAGAAACATTTTGCTTTTTATTACCAAAGTGAAGAGTTTGATATCTAATTTTTGGAGCTTTTTTCAAATTACCTTGAAGTTGTTAATTTTTAGAATGTAGAAGACGAAAATCTTCCCAAGTTATATAACCAGCTGAACAATTATAGACATTATCTTTTATATTATAAGTAAATGATGGAAAGGCAAATTTTTGCAGTGTAAATTATTTCTGATATTTTTAACAAAATGAACACTATCATAAAATAAGTATATTTTAATATTTGGACTATCAGGATGATAAATAAATAAATTTGACTGGTTACCAAATTTCAAATGAAGAAAATTAAATACATTTACATTCGCTTGATGATTGTCAGTAACGACTCTTCCAATTTTAAAACCAGATGAAGAAAGAGAACTAAAAGAATCTGATATTTGCTCTGAAAGCCATTTACCACTAATGGTAACTTCGGGTACTGCTTTTATGACTAAGGAATAAATTTCTTTATACTAACAATCATAAATGCAACAACTTCTTTGTACAGAGTACCATCCCAGCCAACATTGACATACGGGTACCGCACGGGGCCCATACGGGTCGTCAACTGGGTCCCGTATGGGAAGACCAACGGTATCCCGCCGGATCATGGCCGCGGTTTTTATTTGGTACCCATATGGATTAGCCTGCCGGGTATCCCGTAAGGGTCCCAGTCAAATCCTGTACTTTAAAATCGTAAGGGACCCATTTAGGTTTGCAAATGGGACCCATGTGGGAAACCCATCGGGAACCCGCCGGATCTTGGCCGCGGTTTTCTTCTGGGGCCCATATGGGTTCGCCCGCCGGGTATCCCGTGAAGGTCCCACGAGGTTTACCCATTGCAAATCTTGCAAAACTACATTTTAATGTTTAAAATTTACAGAAAAAGCAAATTTATATATAAATTGATTGGTTTATTTCAAAAAAATAGTCGAAATTAACAAATATTTAAACGATTCTTTTTAATCATGTATTGAATGCTTTCACGGTTAACTCGGGAATCGGAAGCTTTTCTATTGTTGTTAAAACAACTTCTTTGAAAACCTCTTTACACAATATCTCGTTTCAATATGAACTGTAAAAAAATTAAATTTAACTGTTAGTTTTAAATTTAATAGGTAACACATACATTACTTTTAATATGTTATAAAACTCTTACGATTTCTCACAACACTCTTCAGATAAAGAATGTAATTTTCACCATCGAAGGTAGAAAAACATAACCTTTACTTTTATAATCGACGTTTATTTCAACGTTTTGAAATATACTTGAAATAGATAAACATATGCTTATGATTCATATAATACTTTGATAACATTCCTTTAGTTACTGCAAAATAAATTATATAAAAGTATTAAATAAATATATTTTTTTATTTATATTGTATATAGTTTAATATATATTGTATATACTTTATATACAGTACCGTGGCTACTAGATACAAGCCCCCCTACCATTCAAAAAAAAATCCTGTCATAAAATAGATAAAAAAAATCTTAATAAAAATACTAAATAAAAAAAAAAACCTTACATTTGTAAAAGGGCCCCTAAATTTGCAAATGAGCCCCCTAGACAACGCTCTGCCTATATATATGTATATATATATATATATATATATATATATATATATATATATATACATATATATATATACATATATATGTATATATAT